ATAAATTTCAAGCAGGTTAAGAGAAACAATCTCGGCCGACTTCGAAGATGTCGGCCGCCCTAAATATCATGAATAATACAATAAGTATCAAGTATTGTAACCCAACCTAAGTATTGTTCATCATATAAGAAATAATCTCGGCCGACTTCGAAGACGTCGGCCGCACTAACTATTGTTCTTGATACTTAGGTTGGGTTGAAGGTAAAGATCATGCTACATCACGAACAATAGTTATGGCGGTCGACGTCTTCGAAGTCAGCCGAGATTATTACCTATATCAACAGAAATAATCTCGGCCGACGTCTTCGAAGTCGGCCGAGGTTATTTCTTCCATAAATTTCAAGCAGGTTAAGAGAAACAATCTCGGCCGACTTCGAAGATGTCGGCCGCCCTAAATATCATGAATAATACAATAAGTATCAAGTATTGTAACCCAACCTAAGTATTGTTCATCATATAAGAAATAATCTCGGCCGACTTCGAAGACGTCGGCCGCACTAACTATTGTTCTTGATACTTAGGTTGGGTTGAAGGTAAAGATCATGCTACATCACGAACAATAGTTATGGCGGTCGACGTCTTCGAAGTCAGCCGAGATTATTACCTATATCAACAGAAATAATCTCGGCCGACATCTTCGAAGTCGGCCGAGATTATTTCTTCCATAAATTTCAAGCAGGTTAAGAGAAACAATCTCGGCCGACTTCGAAGACGTCGGCCGCCCCAAATATCATGAACAATGCTTAGTTCAAATCTTGTTAATACTTGTTAACATAAAAAAATCATCTTACATTTATCTTAATATACATAATATATAACACAATCCGAAAATGACTTAATAAATAAATCATAAAATAACAACTTACCTATAAGTTCAGCAGGTTTATTAGCTCTTTGATTAATAAAATGTTCAAAAGCCTCCTTGAGCGAATTACTAAATTTTTCATTTCTATTAAAACAAGTGGCAACAATATTATCAGTACAATCCTTAAAATCAAGTAGTTCTTGAACCATCGTCCTATCCTTTTCAGGATCGATAACAATAGTCCTCCCTCTTTTTTTAATATACCCATTAAAAGCGACGCAAAGTTCATAATGACCGTTTTTCACTCTCCCCAAGAGTGTGTATAGCAAGGATAAGTCACTTAATCGGTTACCATCTAGTAGCCCATCGAGTCCTTTTTGGAGAATGTGGTTAACATGCTCGCTTAGTAATTGTTTTTCCACATTGTGAATTAATTGATGTTTTGTACTGGAATCTAAGTAATGGAGAACACGTTCGTTTTCTTCGTTAATTCTTTTATCAACGTGAGCCAAATATTCAGGCACTTCTAATTCTTGCATTAAACGTTGACCTTCGGCAGCGTAGAGCCGCTCCGTGGCTGCTAAAAATTTTGATTCAAACGCTTTGTCGTAAATTTGTAAATCAGTGAGCATCCGTAAAAGTGACTTTAAAAGCGTTCTATCCACGGCATCACCTTGTCGCTCTTTTTCGATCAACATTAACAAACCTTCAACAATTCTAGTTTGCACAAGGGTGTATTGGAGGATGTACTGACGGAAGATTTCTAGTCCCATATCCCATATTGATAATATATGGGGATGTTGTAACACGTATGTTCGATCCAAATACAAAAATATACTTCTTATCATTATCATTTGGCGGCAATGATCTTGCCAAGTTTCATTCATTTTCTTTAAAAATGAAAACCGATCAACGGACTCTGCTAAAAATTGCTCAACGTTCCCCCGGACATGATTTTCCGTTAAATTTCTTAAATAAGCATAAAGATTATGAGCCATTTTATGATTACACATATTTTCCACTGCTTGATATAACTCTTCAAGGGAGTACTTGTTAGGTTTGGACGTCTGAATTGCTAGCACTGCACCTTTTAATTTAGCCCAAGTTAATTCTCGATAATCATCCGGTAATTTTGGTTCACCTAAAAAATAATAATCGAAATTATTAAGTTTTAATTAAGTATAAAAATGTTTTACCTTTTTGATTTTTAATAACAATTTTCTTGGTACCTGTTGGTTTGTTATTAACTGTATTGAGGGTACGATTAAGACCATTCGATGAGACCGCAGAGAAATTAGCCCTTTTGGCCCTTTCCGTGGCGTTGTCGCACATGTTTTCATCAACCTCCCTCAACTTTCGTCGTTTGGACAACAGCAGAACCGGCTCCTCCTCGGCACCACGCGCGTCCTTCTCGAAAGGAATTCTATGTTGCTTGGACATAGAAAAACATCACAAAAAATTGTCAATTTTGTAACACTGGCGGACGCGAAACGGAGCGACTCCCCCTTTCGTTTCGTTTAACGGTCAATTGTGGTCCCGTTGGGGCGCTCTCATTTCGAAAAACTCCGAAAAAAATGTTCGGTTAGTTTGGTGACATTTACTAAAGTTTGTTAGTCTCTACCAATATGGACATCAGCCATGTAGTTGGCCATGTTAGAAAAAATCGAGACTTTTATGACACCCTGTATGATGATTAAGCGCGATTACTGCCTTCTGTTCAAACGGTTTACAGCGGTTTTTAGTATGCGAGTTAGATTTTTTATGTTAACTTACAATGGAACATTATCAAAAAAAAAATAATAAAACCATTAACCGTTTTATTTCTGGAATTATTTTGTTTGTTCGGTTGGTAACTGCGGTTAATATCGTTTTCAGTCATATGATTTTTACACACTAATAATAGTAATACACTTAATTCAACCAAAATTATTTACAAAATTCATCATTTTAATTCTAATTTTGCAACCAATTAATAATTTCATAAAAAAAAATTTTTTCAACAACCACTCCAAATCATCAAACACACCAATTTTAACTTCAATTTTAAAAAAATCCTTAAAGCATTCATTTAACTCCATTAAATAACAATAATTCATTTAAAAATTAACAACAAATTGTTGCAAAAAATGATACTAACGCGAAGTTAGCCACAACGAATGAAATGTAATAACAGAACGTCAATAATAGATGGCGCTTATTAAAACGTAATTTGTTTAAATTACTAAAAATGCCAAATTGATTTGAAATCATCTTTATTTAGACCTGATTTGTACAACGTCTTAAACTAAATAAACTTAATATTGCTTCTTCAACCTGCTTTTTTATAGAACAAAAAACAAAATATCTGCCTCGGTAACAAATTATCACAAAAAAATTTAGAATACGTTTTATACAGTGTGTTTGATTTTAACTGTCACAGTAGATATATTGCTTATTTCCAATTTTACTACGAGTTATAAAACTATTTTTTGTTCATATAACTTTATATTTTCCTACTTTTCTCGCTATTATTATGCATCTGAGAGCAAATCATGAACAATAAGAATCATGTATCATGAACAATACAATAAGTAGCAAGTATTGTCCATGATACTGGGGCAGTCGACGTCTTCGAAGTCGGGCGAGATTATTTATCTTAACCTGCTTGTAATTTATAGAAGAAGTAACCTCGGCCGACTTCGCAGACGTCGGCCGCACTATGTATTGTTCATGATACTTAGGCTGGGTTGCAGGCGAAATCATGGTCCATCACGAAAAATACTTATGGCGGCCGACATCTTCGAAGTCGGCCGAGATTATTCATCTTAACCTGCCTGCAATTTATGGAAGAAGTAACCTCGGCCGACTTCGAAGACGTCGGCCGCACTAAGTATTATTCATGATGCATCTGAAGGCAAATCATAAACTATAAGTATCATGTATCATGAACAATACAATAAGTATCAAGTATTTTCTATGATACTGGGGCAGCTGACGTCTTCGATGTCGGCCGCGATTATTTATCTTAACCTGCTTGTAATTTATGGAAGAAGTAACCTCGGCCGACTTCGAAGACGTCGGCCGCACTACGTATTGTTCATGATACTTAGGTTGGGTTGCAGGCGAAATCATGGTCCATCACGAACAATACTTATGCGGCCAACTGCGAAGACGTTGGCCGCCCTAAATATTGTTCGCGATACTTGGGTTGGGTTAGATTGGATTACATATAAGCGAAGATCATGCTCTATCACCAAAAATAGTTATGGCGGCCGACATTTTCGAAGTCGGCCGAGATTATTTATCTTAACCTGCTTGCAATTTATGGAAGTAGTAACCTCGGGCGACTTCGAAGACGTCGGCCGCACTAAGTATTGTTCTTAATACTTAGGTTGGGTTGCGGGCGAAGATCATGCTCCATCACAACTTATGGCGGCCGACTTCGAAGACGTCGGCCGTCCTAAGTAATGTTCGCGATACTTGGGTTGGATTGGATTAGATTACATATAGGAGTAGATTATGCTCCATCACGAAAAGTAGTTATGGCGGCCGACATCTTCGAAGTCGATCGAGATTATTAAGTAACCTCGGCCGACTTCGAAGACGTCGGCCGCCATAAGTATTGTTCATGATATAAGAAATAATCTCGACCGACTAATTGTAAGTATTGTTCTTTATACTTAGGTTGGGTTGCAGGTGAGGATCATGCTCCATCACAAATAATATTTATGGCGGCCGACATCTTCGAAGTCGGCCGAGATTATTATCTATATCAACGGAAATAATTAGATTCGGTTGGATTGTATATAGGCGAAGATCATGCTCTATCACGAAAAATACTTAGGCATTTGTTCATAGGTATTGTTTGTGATAGAGCATGATCTTGGCCTATATGCAACCCAAACCAACCGAACTCAACCCAACCCAAGTATTATTCATCACACTTGGGGCGGCCATTATACTTGAGATTATATCTTATATCATTCGTAGCGGATATATTTCGCGATCTATTTAATTTTTTTTACAGTTTTATAATACATAATAACATTGGGCACATTCTATAAACATATTTGATACTAAATTGCTTTTTAGAATATAGTAAATAATGAAATATTAACTGTGAAGCAACATTTTGTGATATATCCAAAGAGTAGTGATTACAAATCAAACACACCATATAAATTAAGTCACACAAACAAAAAAATTAAATCTATAATTGTTGTCACGATCTTTTTTCAAGTAAATCACATAAATTGCAATCAACAGGCATCCAAATTTGTTTATTATTGCTGATTTGGATTAGCATTTGTTCGTTTTCATTCCGATCTGAAAAATAAAACGTTTGTTTATTAATAATTAACAAAGTAAATTAAGGATATCAATTACTTTTTGAATCAAGGCCATGATATTGAGCAAGTGCGTGCATAAAAAGCCTTTCGAAGCTGTTCAAGGGTAATTTAATAAAAATATCGTAAGGTTTTTCTTTAAAGAATCCAATCAAATCGTTTTCTATTTCCTTGTTATTCATGGATGGGAAATTTTTGCGAAGTTTCATTGATCTTCTAATTTTGTGGGAAATTCTCATGTAGGGATCATCATCGTGTTTTCTTTGATGATAATTTTCATCATTTTCTTCCTCTTCTAGTTCTAATAAGAACTTGTTTAAAAAATCCAGCGGATTTTCTTCAATTTCCATGAGTCTTTCGAAGGGTGTTTTGCGATACTCCAACAAATTGTCTTCGTACTCATCATCATTGATTAATGTCTCCAAGTTTTTTTCTAAAAAATTGTTCATTAAATCCTCACAAGTTCAAACATTTTAAATACTTACTTACTGTTAAAATATCTTTGAGTCTTTCTTTTTCCTGTGTTTCTCTTTGGAGCTGGTTCGTCTATTTTTAATACACGAACTCGTCTAACCGTTCTTAATATAATCAAAGGAGTATCATCTTCGCTTTCCGAGGTGGAATTACTAGATCAATTTGTATTATTAAAAGTTATTGCATCATCTTTCGTTTTACTTACACAATTGATTCAATTTCTTCCTGATTTTGGTTTGAATTACAACTACAAGCATTCGATTTTCGTTCTCTTACAACCCCCATCGTATTTTTTATTTTATATTATTCAATCAAAAAGAATAATCGATTAATTATTATAATCACTGAATATGTTGGTGATTTTGAAACAAATTTATATTTAAGATTATAATTATTGCACAATAAGCCGAGTTGATTTGTTGGGGAAATTCGAAAAGAATACGTTTTGACACTAATCAAGTGTCAAGTTACCCGAATTTTTAGGTTTGATTTTAAGGTGAAATTAAAACCCGGTTATTTAGAAAAGTAAACATATGTTATCGGGATATAAATAAACTAAACTAATTGTTTCGAAATTATACAATATGTAAAAATCTTTGTTTCGATTATCAACCTTATCGATTTGATTGTGGCGCCATCTTTAAGCGAGTTTTTATTTATTCCTGCAGATTTCTTTTTTAATTAAAATTAATATTGATTTAAATTTTTATTAAATTTATCGTAAAATAAACTTGTAATTTTGTTATTAGGTTAGACTAAATCAAGAAATAATGCCGAATAATACCGGTTTTCCATCCGAAATATGATGTCAACTTTAATTATTGCGAAAATCTTCCTTTTCTCTTCTGCCCACTCTCATTCCTGTCCAGCATGCATCCTAAGAATATAGCTTTAGGGGAAACTTGATTAGTTTATGTTCAATCACTTCCTTTTATCACCACCTTTATAGGCTCCCTATTTCATATATCAACAAACCGAGATCAAATCATGAACAATAAGTATCATGTATCATAACAATGTACAATACAATAAGTACGTCTTTGAAGTCGGCTTTCTCTTAATCTGCTTGAAATTTATGGAAGAAGTAACCTCGCCCTCCTAAGTATTATTCATGATATAAGAAATAATCTCGGCCGACTTCGAAGACGTCGGCCGCACTAAATATTGTTCATGAACAATACAATAAGCATCAAGTATTGTAATCCAACCTAAGTATTATTCATAAACAATATTTAGTGCGGCCGACGTCTTCGAAGTCGGCCGAGGTTATTTCTTATATCATGAACAATACTTAGGTTGGGTTACAATACTTGATACTTATTGTATTGTTCATGACATCTTCGAAGTCGGCCGAGATTGTTTCTCTTAACCTGTGTGAAATTTATGGAGGAAATAACCTCGGCCGACTTCGAAGACGTCGGCCGCACTAAATATTGTTACTTAGGTTGGGTTGCAGGCGAAGATCATGTTCTATTACGAACAATACCTAAAGCGGCCGACGCATTCGAAGTCGGCCGAGATTATTTTTTATATCAACAGAAATATTAATAATAATAATAATAATAATAGCCTTTATTGCACATTCATCAGGAAAAATGAAAAATAATTATAAATAATTGATTACAAAAATTAAAGTAAAAACAAATTATAATAAAAAGATAATGAGATAATTAATAACATAATGTACTACAGTAAAGTATTATACCAAATAAAAATAAAATAAAATAATAAAAAAAAAAGAACAATAACAAGAGAAACAGAAATAGTGCAATCACGAGGCAAAGATTCAGTTGTATACCAACTGATTTTCAATCCAAACCTTGACAATTATTAGAGAGATATGAAATACATCATAATCCTTAACTCTACAAAAAATAAAAAAAAGAAAGAAAACGATATCTTAAATAATGTAAAGAAATATTCGCAGCAAAACTGTGACTCACCGGTCTCTGCCAGAAATAGTAGTCACCTGCTCTCCAAGTAACCGTGCCCTCAAATGTTTTTTAAAACAATTAAAACCGAGATTCCTCAACTCGTCACCAATGCTCCCGTATCACTTATATATATGAAAAGAAAAAGATCTTTGGAAAAGTGACGTTCTGTGTCGAGGCGGGTCTATGTAGCACCTAAATCTAGTTTCACGATTGTGAATATCGCACCTGAAAAAAATCTTATTGTACAAATATATAGGGATTTTAGTAGTAATCAATTTGTGATAATAAGTTAGAGCATGAAGTTCTCTTCTTGAGCGCATTGACAACCAGCCTGATTCAATAAGCCAGTGGGAAATGTGATCGAACTTCCTAATATTCTCACCTATAATAATAATAATAATAATATGATCTTCCTATTCTATATGTAATTCAATCCAACCCAAGTCAACCCAACCCAACCCAAGTATCACGAACAATACTTAATGCGGCCGACATCTTCGAAGTTAACGGTTTCGGTTTTTTATCTTAACCTGCTTGAAATTTATGGAAGAAATAACCTCGGCCGACTTCGAAGACGTCGGCCGCCCTAAGAATTGTTCGCGATACTTGGGTTGGGATGGGTTGAGTTGGGTTGGATTGGATTACATACAGGGTGATTCTCAACCTATACGCATAAACTGAGGGATTTATTCATCAAGACAAATAATGACTAATAGATGAAAAAAATTATTGTAAAAGTTTTTTAGATGATATGTTTCCTGGAAGATGGATAGGTCGAGATGGTCCAATGGCCTGGTCACAGTAATTGCCCGGCTTCACTCCTCTTAATTTATGCCTTTTGCGTCACTTAAAAAGCATAGTGTACGCCACAGAAGTTAATATTCAGCAAATATTGCAAAATCAGATACATGCTACAGCCCAGACAATCCGCTAACACCCTGGTTTAGGCCGCGCTAATGTGGGATCGTGGATTCGGGGAGCCCAATTGATAGATAATATGGGAAATAACTTCGAACACTTGCTGTGATGTTATTTTAAAATCTTTTACTACTAATTTTTTCGCCTATTAGTCATTATTCGTCATGAGGAGTAAATCAATCAGTTTATGCGTATAAGTTGAGAATCACCCTGTATAGGCAAAGATCATAGGCGAGATTATTTCTGTTGAAATAAAAAATAGGTATTGTTCGTGATAAAGCATGATCTTCGCCTATAACCAACCCAAACCAACCGAACTCAACCCAACCCAAGTATCACGAACAATACTTTTCTTATTATTTCTGTTGATATAGGAAATAGAGATTTCATAAATAATACTTAAGTAATTATAAATACAAAAATTGAATAACATTGCAAAAGAACGAAAAATCATGATTTCATGATACGCATTTCCGGTATTTGGAGGTTACCGGAAGTTTTAACATGGTGGCGAAATATTTTTAAATATTAATCGCTTTGGGTTAATTTAATTCAAATTTTCTACCATAATCATATTTATTATTTCGTAAAATCTCGTTCTTTTTATCCTTTTTAACTTAATTTTTATTAATTTTGTTAATAATTAATGAAAACATTCAACTCCACATTTAGTTACAGTTTATTCCGCGTGGTGGCGCTAAAGTCGTTAAACAAAAACCGTTACGATTGCCCATTTTGTTTTATACAGTTTCGAACTGTTAACAGCTGCGGTGTAGTTTCGGTGTTCGTGCAATTTAGTTTGTAATTTTCAATGGTTCTTCTTTGATAAAAGGATTTTCGGTAAGCTTATTAATCGATTTAGTAATGTTACAGATCAAATCACTTTTTATTTTCGATAAATCGCTCAACTCGTGCTTTTTGTTTTTGTAGGTTAGGTTGCCACATTTTTTTGACCCGCTTCAAAATGAATAATTTGCATAACATGAATAACATCCATGTTATCCAGACGAAAGTGGATCATATTCCCGCGATTCCGGGCGAAGTAACCGGATTAGTTCACTCCGGAAAGCTCTACTACATCATCGTAGGCAAAGCTTTGCACATATTTGGGAATAAATGCCCGATTAATGTTCCATTAAGCCCACATCCCCTCTTAGATACAATTGCGTACTATCCTAACGTCCTGGATAAGAAGATATTTGTTTCTGATGGCTACAATTTTTATTTCGAGAAGATCGGCCAAAAAGAGTGTCTTCGTATTCAATGCCCGAAACGAATCGTTGCATGTGCCTACTCTCCGCTGCTCGATAAATTGGTATATTTAGACGACGAGAATGGTGTTAGTCTTTGCGATATCTACCCCGAGTTGGGAACTGTGGTTGAAGAAGCTAAATGGTCACTTTCTGATGTTCCTCCAGCACAAATTAATGTTCATTGGGGAGCAAGGTCGACTCAATTCGCTGGATTTGATAATACTACACATGTTGATCTTGTTCGAAAAGGTATCTTTTTTAATTTTAATTAATTTATTTAATTAGTTTTTTATTTACAATTTGCAATGTTTTTCCTGTACACACTCCAATCACCTCCCTCATCCATCTTTTGCCCTCACCTCCTCTCCCAAAATCTGCTTCCTGACTATCACCTCCCCCCTTAGCTCACTACATCCTCTCAGCATGTATATCAGCGTCTCCCAATCCTCTCCACATAGTCTACACTGCTCTCTCCTCATTGCCACAGCAGAATCTGGCCACCAATCTCTTCCCTTCATCCTCCCCTTCCATCAACAGATACTTTGGCAGTTCCTCTGTCACTATAATAATAATAATAATCATTTTATTGATACTGCACAAGACACAATAAAAAAGAATATATATATAAGCTTTGCTATTACAATATTAATAGGGGTCCTGCAGAAAATTCTGATTTAAGAATCCCTTTCTCGAAAAAAAAAAAACCAAAAATAAAAATAATAGAGAAGTAAAGAAAATAGTAATAATATTAAATACTAAATTAAGCAACTAACAAAATAAGCATTACATTTGCATCCATTTTGAAATAAAAAAAAATAAATAAAAAAAAAAACAAATGGGTCTTACCATATTAATAACAATAAACAAAAAAAAACAAATCATAGAAGATAAATGAGAGAAAAAGAGAACAATTATTTCCTACTTAATAAACGAATAAAAATATTGCTCTGTGAAACACTTGTTTTCTCTAATCTTAATTATTGTGATGTCGTTTACGGACCTTGTCTCAAGGGTCGTGACAAATACCGTATCCAGAAGCTACAAAACTCTTGTATTAGATTCATTTCTGGTTTGAGAAATCGCGATCGAATATCTCATGTTTATGAGGATATCGGTTGGCTGCGTATGGCTGCACGTCGTAGGTTGCATGCCCTTGTTTTCTACCACCATGTGCTGAATAAGAGGGTACCACAGTACTTGTATGAAAGAATTCGTTTCCGAACTGACGTTCACAACGTTAATATACGTAAAAAAGATTACCTGGCAATACCGCGTCACAGGCTTGAGCTGTTTAAGAGGTCGTTTTCTTACACCATTGTTTCCTATTATAATTCTGTTCCTCCTGAATTCCAGCACCTTGGTGGTATCTCCTTCAAGAAGAAAATCAAAGGGCTCTTTCTGACCTGTAATAAATGACTAGGTCGCGCAGTTGTTTTTTTTTTCTCCGAGACTCCATACACACTATGTTATGATTGAAGGTTTTTCGTAATGCTTGCACTGTAATAGTTGATTCGTGGCCCTTTCGTTTCTTTTCTTTTTTTTTTAAGTTTATTATTCTTACCATTAGTTAGTAGTTAGTTAGTTTAGTTAGTTGATAGATTTTTTTTATGGGGTGCCGGAAGAACAGATCAGTGTTCTTCACTGTTCTGAGGTATCTCCATTTGGCGCACATTTTTTTTCTTTTTTCTTGTTGTTTATTTGTTTTTTTTAATATGTATACAAATTTTCTTTTGTTATATTATGGATGTACTTATATTATATTATGCGTCAATAAATAAATAAATAAATAAATAAAATAAATAAACAATTAAAATAATAAGCCCCGAAATAATACACAATCAATGAGTCGTTAAGTACTTTTTATATTTCTTTTTGAAAGAAAACAGAAAACAGGTAGCACAATCCGATTGTTTAGTATGATTTTTTAAATGTTTCCACACGGTGTTTAGGAATAGTTACAAAGTATCTGTTGTTGATCCCAGTTAGTAAATATCCCATAATAACTCTTATATAATATCCTTCCCTATCTCTCTGCCCATATATCAGCCTCCTTTCCTTAATTTCCTTCCAGCACTCTCCCAGGATCCTGCAATGCTGTCTTCCTTCTATCATTTCCTTGTACTCTTTGCTCTTCTCCCAGCCTTTACCCTTACTGCATATACCTTAACCTCCTCCCTCACTACCTCTAGTACCCATCTCCAATACCTTGTTTGTACAGGGTGGGTGAAAATTTGGGCTATCTCAAATACTATAAGAGATACAAAAAAGTAGGTGCCATCTCCTGGCCTCTTTTTTCGAGACTAATCCAATCCCGCAAAGACCCAACCTCTATCTTCTTTTTTTCATTTTTAAGTTCCAAAATTATTTATTTTTAGTTATTCGTATTATTTTTGAAATTAGAGAAATGGGGTTAATACATTCTTAAGACACTTTTTGAGTAGAATATACTGGCGTTGAAAAATTTTAAACATAGCTGATAATTTTTGAGATATAACATGTGCTTTATCTTATATCTTTGTATTGTATCTCAAAAATCATTGAGTATGTTTAAAATTTTTCAATGGCAGTATATTCTACTTAAAAAAGTGTCTTAAAAACGTATCAACCTCATTTCTCTAATTTGAAAACTAAACGAAATTTTTTGAAATCACGAAAATTTGACTTTTTGGCTATAACTTAAAAACAAAAGAAGATAGAGGTTTGGTGTTTGCAGGATTGGATTAGTCTCGAAAAAGAGACTGGGACATGACACCTACTTTTTTCATATCTCTTATAGTTTCTGAGATAGTCCATTTCCTCCCACACTTCCCTCAATCTCTATTCTTGCCTTCTTGTTGAACTCCCTATCTGCCAAATATTTCAATATGTATATATTGTTAATTACCCATCCAGCAACAACTAATTTTTAACTTGAATACTCTTAATTAATATTGAAATTAATAAAATATGATATTTCTAGCTATTGGAACACCCTGCACAGATGAGATACCTCAAATATTATGGCGACCGGATGGAAAATGTTTTTTAATAAGTTATAAATCAGATACGATTCGTTGTTTCAAAATTTTTTGCGTAGCTCGTGGGGTTATAGCAAACAGCGAATACATCCCCGGTTTATTATCGCCGATTTCGTGGCAACCTGTAGATTATATGATTGCGACCGCTTGCTGTAGCGATAATAACTGGAAGATAATGATTTATGAGCCAAACGGCTGCGCAAAACTAGTACATTTGATGGTTAATAACCTGAAAATCGCCCAATTAAAATGGAGTAAAGATGGTAAGATTTTGGCGGTTTTGGAAGAAAATGGGGCTTCGTCGAATGTTCTTTTGTTCACGATTACGGGCTATTGTTTCGAGTTGAAACAAAGTTTGCAATTTGCAACGGAAGTCCGTTATATCGACTGGTTGGAATCGACGGGTAGTGTCCAACATTTAGTTGTTGTTTTAAAAGAGGGAATTATTCATTATTATTTGCGTTTGGGGCCAACTTTTAGTTCGATAACTGTCGATGAAGGTACTATGACTGCAGTCATAAATGGGAGGGAATTACTGCTTGTGGATACTTTAAAAAATATTACAATGAAACCGGAAGGCGAGAATATCGACGCCATAAAATTCGCGTTCCCCGACACCATGTCACAAGTAGTGTTTAACACAACCCTGCCTATGTTTTTATGTATTGATAGCAGCAATAAGGTCCGAATTTACACTTACAGAAGTAACAATATCTCCGTTATTTCCGATCACATTGGATTTATGTTACCAATTTTAAACGCATATCCTTTGCAAATTCATCACGTCGCATTTTGTGATCAGTATTTTATTATGTACATACTTGATAATGATAGACCTAAAGAGCTTATTTTTGATCTGTCGAATAAGATGTGCACTAAATCGACTCCGTGGAGAGCTGATATTACAGGAGTAAAATTGATTAAAACGTTTAATAGGGAAATTAAAAAATATACTTTTTATAGTAATGGGGATTTATATTTAGATCTTGATTTGGTGCGAAACTACACACATTTAATAATCAAAATGGAGAGCTTTTGTTATCAAAATAAAGATTATTTGCTCGTCCTTGATAACGCCAATCGATTGTTCTGCGATGATATCTTAGTAGCGGATAATGTAACATCATTTCTTACGTTTTATGCATATATTTTGCTTACGAGGAGTAATAATATGTTATACAGTTGCCGTCACAACATTTTTTTGGATTGTATTCGTAAGAATAAACCTTGGGAAATATTCGATTTCAGAAGTATTCCCGTTGGAGGAGTCTTAGTAGCGCCAATTCCCTACAAATTAAGTATTTTAATTCAAGACACTGTTGGAGTTTTAGAAATAATTTCAACCGGATTATTAGACGTTGACTACGTCAACACCTTATTAGACAGAGGATTATGGAACAAAGTACACACTGAAATTAAGTTACGCCATTTAAACCTAAATGTATTGGCTGATACAAACATGACAAGGTTTACCACAAATATTGAGGCATTCATCCATTCCACCCAAAAGCAATATTTGCAAGATTTTGTATTAAAACTCAGCAGCGGTAATGTACTTGAAACGATGAATTGCAAACATCAATTCGTTAACATCACCTCTAACGTAAATAAAATAAGCGATATATGCTCGCTTATCGTTAATTCTTTGAAAGAAAAGGATTTAGAAACATATTTTGGGACAACTTTGTTAGCTATGATAAAATGGAAAGGACTTTCGGGGGGTGTTGCTTACGCGCAACGAGTTTATTCGCTAGGTAGTTCGGAGTTAAATAAAATAGTTGAAGGGGGGTTAAAATTAATTTGTTCATTGTTTAATGCAGACGACGTTTTAATTCAATGTCTCAAAACGTACGATTTAGATTTTGCTTTATTCTCTCATTTCATACATAATCGCGATCCTGCCGCCACAACGACTTTAATCGATGCTTTTTACGATTCCCAAAATGACAGCGAATTAAGATACAAAGTTAACCACCAAGTTGGAGACTACAAAGAAGCGGTTAAATATTTAGTGTTACATTTATTAGATACCGTCAAAGAAAATCCGCACCAAATCTCTTACGATGATGTTATCGATTATGCATTGAAATACAATGAATTAGAAGTTCTTTATGATTTTTTGAAGAAACATGCGGTTAGTATTCCACGGTTATGCTTCGAGTTAGCTTTAGTTAACGAAGAGCTTAATCGAAAACAACGCGCGGCCGAACTTTACTTTGAAGCCGGTGATTTAGAAGCTGCATACACAGCTTACACTTGTATGTTTAATTGGATCGAAGCGATTAAAGTTCTCGACGCGATGAATCTTGATGAAAAAACGCATAAAAATCGTTTATCGAATTTCGCTGATCATTTAAGCGCCGCAGGATATTATAGCGGTGCTAAATATATACATTTAATGCAAAAGAATTACCACGAGGCGATTGTAGCAGCGATTGCCGAACACGCGTACATAGAAGCTCAAGATTTGATCGAAGAATATGATCCCGAGATGATATGGGTTTTAAGAACGGAAGCTCTCAACTACATTTCAAAATTGGAAGATTTGTTAGAAAATACTACAGATGACTTGGAATGTTACCTCTACAGAATCGTCGAGATTCGTAATCGTCGCCGTATTGGCACTTATTCGAATGTGGGAAACTCACTTCCACAATCTTTAAAATCAAACGGTGGCGATGATAATGAATCTCGTGATGGCGCCGAAAGTGTTCGCACTACTTTCTCTTCGGTTGTAAGTCGTAGTTCCACTTCCAGCAGAAAAAGCAAAAAAGAAACAAAGAAGTATATCGATATGCGTCATGGTGGGCTCTACGAAGATATCGCGATCATGCGAACCATTCATTTGAAAATAAAACAAATTGATAATATGGATAATGATTTAAACAATATTGTTGCTGTAATTGGCGGCACATCAGACGAAGGTGTAAGCAACATTTTACTTAGAAATTATAACAAGTTGTTTAATTTTATTCAAGAAATTATTCCCAAAGTTTGGATTAACAACTTGAACAATATGGATGTAGTCAACGAAGAGTTATTAGCGGCTAGAACCAACATTATTTTCCTTGGTAAATTTTTTTTTTTATTAAAATTGATGGATTTTAACAAATTTTATTTTGCAGAGTATCAATATCGGTTGGCTCCAGAGATTACTCGATTTGTAAGAGGCGACGAAGAATAGATTTTAATAGTTTTTTTTTTACTAGTGTTTTCGAGTTTTATGTTTTAATGTTATTCTAGCGGCTGTGAGAGTTTATGTTTAGTTTTTGTTTATTTTGACGTTAATAAAATATTTTTTCAATAATATTTGCGTTTTGTTTGGGGTAATTAAAACAAAAAAGAAATTAAATTTTAAAAACTATACTATATTTTTTTATAAATATTAAAATAACTTCACAGTAACTATATCCTAACACGTTTCTATTATTTCAAGAGGGACGAGTTACGGATAGAATTGAATTTAATTAACTAACATTCTAGTATATACAAATTTGTAAGTGGACACCATCTTGGGGTGGATCTCTTGATATGATTTTTATCTTTGAGATATTGAAGATAATTATAATTTAGTATGTTTAACGGTATCCGTCCAATAATTTTGTATGGTCATCGCTTCTAAACTATTAAGAAACGAGTCGTTATCCAAACTGTACATTTCTTCCGAATTATCCTAAATCAAAAATAATAATTAAAAAAGAATCTGAGAATCGTTAAAACATACCCTTACAGATGTATCATCAATATATCCGCTTGAATCCAAATTACTACAATGATCATTTAATACTTGCGGACGATTCAAACTTCTATTCTTGTACATAACGCAGGATAATATTGAAATTGCCGCCGCAACAAGTGCACAACTTAACGTAATCCCAGCTATTCCAGCTGCGGATAAATTTCCGAATGGTTTTACAATACCTTCGCTAACATTTCTTGGTTCAACCACTAATTCCGATTGATTTCGACATATTTCTTCGTAGAAACCGGTCAAATTTTCGGCCGCCTCGGTACGATTCAACGTCACATTAAATAGTTCTTCTAAAGTACTATTCTCCGCAACTATCACAGACTCGTTGACTGATTCCGAAACGTTCCCAGGGGGACGTTTTGTCATCATTAAACTATCCATATCTGATGGTAATGATGAAGATGTTTGGACGTTTAAGATTATCGTTACATAAGTTATCCAAAACCAATGCATGTACCAGTATAAAATCATCTCAACCCCATGTAAATTTTCTTATAAACAAAATTGTCATATTACTATTATTAATCATTACTGTTTCTTTTCTTGGAAGGACTGTTTTGCTCAGTTTTTAAATCTATAATCAAAAAAATTCATCGTAAGGAAACATTTTTTCGATTACTACAATTCAAGATTATTAACGTAATTGAAGGATTACTCAAGATTGATAAAATGAATTGTGAGTAAACTGAAATAACTTTAAAAAACGCAATATTTTTGCGAATTACTCATTGCTGCGATAAAATATTTTATGAATAAAACACAAATTATGTATTCTGAATCATCATGATTTGTAAAAAATTTTCATAAATGAGGTATTTGAAAAGAGGATGTTGATATAAGTAGTTGGAGATGAAGGAAGTGATGATGCATCTGGAGAAGTATTTTTATTAAAGGGTCGAAATGAAGGGATGAAATAAGGATGGGGGCAAGAGTGTTTCTTAGAGATATGGGAACAAACAAGGGATGCTAGAAAATAACATATTGTCGGTAGAAAAGTGAATACTGCCAATGGAACTCTAAATCCTGGAATAAAAGTGTTTGGACAAGATTTGATATTAATGCGAGAAGTCGAGATTCTGCTACAGATATTGCCAATACATTTTTTTATAAAAGTTATAGCGAACAGAAGCTTAAATATTACATATAGAATACAAGATCCTGAATATTACGGGAGATACTTGATTATTACCACTAATACATAAGCTAGAGGCGAATATGGAATCATTTTCTGCAAGGAAGTTATATCCATTGCTACTACTTTGCATTGGCCTCACTAAGTATTGTTCTTGATACTTAGGTTGGGTTGCAGGCGAAGATCATGCTCCATCACGAACAATATTTAGTGCGGCCGACGTCTTCGAAGTCGGCCGAGATTATTTTTGTTGATATAGGTAATAATCTCGGCCGACTTCAAAGACGTCGGCCGCCACAAGTATTGTTCGTGATGGAGCATGATCTTCGCCTGCAACCCAACCTAAGTATCAAGAACAAGACTTAGTGCATGATACAAGAAATAATCTCGGCCGACTTCGAAGACGTCGGCCGCGCTAAGTATTGTTCTTGATGCTTAGGTTGGGTTGCAGGCGAAGATCATACTCCATCACGAACAATATTTAGTGCGGCCGACGTCTTCGAAGTCGGCTGAGATTATTTCTGTTGATATAGGTAATATAAGATCATGCTCCAGATCTTCGCCTGCAACCCAACCTAAGTATCAATAAAACTGCTAAGCAAATTCAGAGAAACAATCTTATTATCTAAATTATTTCTTATATTAAAAGCAATACTTGGCGCATATACTTGGCTGTATCTAAAATGTTGGTTTTTTAGAATATGGCAAATAACAGAATATGAAGTGTGAAGCAATATTTTGTCATATCTCCAACAATAATTAAGATATCTGCTGTGAAGGCTAAAATGAAACGCTGTATATGTGGTCTTGGTCCTTAAAGTGTTAATTATTATGCACTCTTAATTTCAAGTTATTTTATAACCACAATATTGTTAATGAAGCTTGGATAAGTAATTACCTCTTCATTATCATATTTTCCTCCTACAAATGTTTGAATCAATCTTATTAATAATTTTCTGATCTTAATGAAGCAATCAGTGTTGATTTTAAAGAATTTTATTTAAAAATCCATAAAAAGTGAGGTTATATTAAAAAGAAGCGAATAAATAAATCTTAATTAACTCACCTAAAACAATTAGAACATTATATTAAATTGGCTGAAGTATTCTAAGCGTGCCTGCGGTTCGTAGTGGACTGATTCGAGTGTTTTAATAAATTTTCCTGTTGAAGGTAAACGATTTTTAATAGTTTGTATAACATCACCTACTTTTGTTTGTTGCAAATTACTGTTTAATGTATCCGATTCGTCCTTCGAATTGTTTGTGTACGGAGGAGAGAAGGATGAAGGAAAACATTCAGTGGCTGCAAACATCAACACAAAACGACGGTACAATATAAATAAAGTGGTTGTCAAAACACTTTTTATTGTATCTCGATGACATTTGACGTTTCTAAACATTTTCTAACCTCACAATTTCATTTTGAGCGCCATCTAGTTTCATAATCCAAAACGAACTTTATTAATTTCAACTTAATCATTCATTAATTTATAAATTTCATAATTAATAACTTTAAATATTCAAAAAAACATTAATTATTAATAGGGAGCATAACCCATAAAAGTATTACATAACCCAAGTTTTAATCAAAGATGTCGTTGATAAAGCGATAAAACCTAACCAAAAAATCATCACATTTTAGGCAAATACATATTTTTTTATAATGCACACAGATTTATCCCCTCATTTACACTCAGAAAGGTGTAACGAACTAATTCAATTATTAAAAAATTGCCACCAAGAGGTAAATGATGCAACAATTAACAAAAACAAAATTAATCTTATTAATTTTAGCACCCCGTAGCAAAATTTGTTGGATATTGCAACTCATTGGATTCGCAAATGGTAAAGTGTTTGAAAGAAGAACGTTTAGAACGTAGACGTTTAAACATAATAAAATCGAACGAGAGAAAAGCCAGGTTACGAGGACTCTCGCAAGAAGAAAGTAATTAAAAATGGATGTAAATAATAGTATTGTACCTAACATTGTAAATTCAATCGATCAATCTTTATTAATTAATCACACTTTTACAAGTCCATCTCTTAAATATTACGAGCATAAATATTGTAAAAAAATTTTATCAATCGATGAAAGAATATATCAAAGAGTTAGTTTTCACACAAACAGGATTTGCTTATTATCATTGGCGGATGACCATCCAATTTTAAAAGATAATAAAGAAATCCTAAAAATTAATTTTGAAGTGTCAAATGTAAACCGCTTAGATAATGTAGTTCTTGGTAAAGGTAAAAAAGGGGGGCAAAAATTGCGACCTCACCAGCCTCTTTGTTATATTGAATGTAAAGGAGGTGAAATATACACTATTTATAGCTGCATTGAGGGTAAACTTATCGAAGTGAATAAGCAATTAATTGATAATCCTGAATTTATTAAATCTTACCCTATTAGTAAAGGTTACATCGCGTTAATTTTACCAATGCTCTGTAAATCGGATAGTTTTAAAGAACTTATGTTAACTTCAAATCAATATTATGAAGATTAAATAAAAACAAAAAGAATAAAAGTAAAGATTTTATTACTAATCTTTTTTTAATTTCAAGACCTTAACACGACCAGTACTTACTTATGGGTTGGAAACATCAACAACATGTGCTTTGCTCGCCATGAGCGCCACTTGGACGATTTCTAAACATTAAAAGCCAAGTATCTTCGAAGTCGGAAATTTCAAGCTGGGTAGACTTGGTTTCACGCTGATCCCGTTAATAACTTTATGGAAGAAATAAACTCGGCCGACTTCGAAGACGTCAGCCGCCCCAAGTACGATGAAACTCAACCCAACCCAAGTACCATGAGCAATACTTAGGGCGGCCGACGTCTTCGAAGTCGGCCGAGTTCTTTCTTCTATAAACTTCAAGCAGGGTAGATTTGGTTTCACACTTTGAATACTGGGTGGTACCATTAATAACTTTATGGAAGAAATAATCTCGGCCGACTTCGAAGACGTCGGCCGCCCCAAGTATCATCAAACCCAACCCAACCTAAATATAATAATAATAATAATAATAATAAATGCCTTTATTAGAAAATAAGCTTAATTGTACAAAAAAAAACATACAAAAGAAAATAGGCGAGTTCCAGCTTGTACTAGTTAGTACAGCTGCTCTAACTAACCTAAGAAACAAAAAAAGAAAAACATGACTCGGCCAAAAATTACAAAGCAACAGCTAGATACAACAACAAGATTGCAAAACATGTCAGATCAGCGTTTGCCCCCATGTAGACATTGTTCAAGAAAACAAGAATATTTCTGTGTAAATTTAAACCTTCGTAGTGAGAACCCCTTGCAATTATCGTCCACCTCATTATATTTCGAAGTTATTTGAAATAAGTATGATCTCTGAAACAAAGACAAACGATAGAAGGGTGGCGACAGTCTTCCGCGAAATCGCGTATTTATTCGGTGGACATCATTTCGGAAAGTTATCAGTTGGTAGAGATACTGTGGTTCCTTGTAGTTTATAATTTTATGGTATAGGCACAAACACTGCACTTTCCTACGATGATACATATTTAGCCATCCCGCATCCTTCAGTTTATAAGATATTCTGTTATATTTTCTAATTCCATATATATACCGAAGACACGAATTTTGCACTCGTTGAATACGTGTTACATCGCTAACGTCAATGCACGGATGGTAGACCTCAGCACAATAAGTGAATTGAGACAACACAGAGGCTTCGCACAACACCTTTTTCAGATGAATACCAAGGTAGTGTCGATGAGGAAACAACATCCTCAGATGATAATAAGCCCTGGATATACAGT